GGGAGCCGACAGCTAGCGCGCGCGCCGCCTCTCCCCGCCACGTGCTGGCGGCTCCCAGCGACCCCGCAGACCTCACAGTCACCCGCAGCCTTGAGAAAGGAAACTCCATCTCCCAGCATGCACTGGGAGCGTGGGCAGGCTTTCACTTCCTGAGGGCGGGGGGGAGCAGGCCCGAGGTACCATGGGAAAAAGGCCCCGAGCGACAACAAGGAAAGGCAGGGTGTACGGTTCCGTGGGACCTTAACTTTGGATAACCACCACGGTCTCCTGCTAACACTATTGCTCTTCAGTAAACACGCGTTTCCCCTTCACTGTCCGCAATAATATTAGCTCTTCAAGAAAAGTAATTTTGTAAAATTAATGAAGAACACACAATAATTTGCATGATTTAATCTTCTAAACAACTGATGTTGGGTAGTAGATACTGATATCACCCCCAACTTACAGATGAAGAAACTGAGCCTCTGAGATTACGTAGTCATTCGGATGTCGCAAAATCCGATTATTGAAAATGATACTAGTGATCATCCTGTGTTACAGAAGAGATATAACATATTCAATGACAATCATACATTCTTCTAAGAAAGTGACTATCCAGATGGACGTGCTCTGCTCCTGTAATACAAGCAGGGAAAGAGGGAGTCTAATGAAACTAAAATTGTCTTTTACCCTTCCTTTCCTCAACTATTCCTGCAAGACTCTCAAGTTCTTTACAGGACTCCCAGCTCATGTCAATCAATGAAAAGATTCAGAATTCTACCCGGAAAATAGGCTATAATTAGTTTTTCCTACCCTTCCTAAATTCAAAGCTCTTAGATGATTTGCTAATTTTCCACAGAAAGACTGACAAGCAGCTGTTTGCACTGCATACAGGAAAAGGGATTTCCAGAGAATTCATCCATCATAAGCTTCAATCCATGTGAAGGATATTTGGGCATCTTCTGCAGTTAATTTCCATGAGTTCCCTATTGTGAACATGGTAAAAATCATCCTTCCCCTTTCCTGTAGGTCAGAGGTTATTTTCCTCTAGTTGCTAATAGTATAAGTGACCATGAGTTACTGAAAATGTGCATGTTGAACTAATAGCAGTTAGGTATTTAAGAGTAAATTGACAAAATTTCACTTCATGCCCCTAAATATTGATTTAGAAAGGCAACACAGACTTAGAAGGGAAAATAATTGTCTTGGTCTGTTCAGGCTGTTGTAAGAGAATACCATTGACTGGGTGACTTATCAACAACAGACATTTATTGCTCACAGTTCTGGAGGTGCCAGCATGGTTGCCTTCTGGCGAGGGTCCCCTTCCTGGTTCAACGCTGATAACTTATTGCTTTGTCCTCATATGATGAAAGGGGCTAGGAATCTCTCTGGAGCTTTTTTATAAGGCGTTGACCCCATTCATGAGGTTTCCACCTCATGACTCAGTCACCTCCTAAAACCATCGGATTAAGCATTAAGATTTCAGCATGAATTTTTTGGGGGAGTGGGAGGTGGGGACACAAAACATTCAGACCATAGCAATATCTAAATGTTACTGCTCAAATTATAAACCTTGAGTACTTAAAAGACAGACCTCAGTCCTTCTTCCCAGTGTGCTTTCCAGAGTAACCTGATGGAGGAGACATATGCTCCAAACAATAAGAGTCCCAGGTGGATAATATAAATGAGTGAAATAGTCTCTTGATGGAGCACATGCCGTCTCTAGAAACAGCCACTGGTCATCTCTAGGCAATAGCTGCCGCACAGGCCTCTTATTGCCAGATCTTCTAATTTTTTTTCAAGAAAAGCCCCCAAAATGAAGATTTTCATGTGAAACCTGTCCATTTTAAATGTTGGCTTAATTTTTTTTAAGTGGTGCAGGCAAAATAAACCACCTGCATTGGTAATTCATTCATAATCTCTGGCAATGACCCAGCTGTTCTGCAGCCTCAAAGTCAAGTGAAACAGAGTTGAAAAATAAAATCCTACATCAGTATTAAGCAGTATTACATGCATCACCCCAGCCCCCATTCCTCATATTTGTAGCCTGAAATCTGCTGTCCCTCCAAAAGAAGTCGCTTGTGGTTAAGTGGCTTACATATACACATGACTAGAAGCTAACAGCTATTCAAGGAATATCAGGGCTTTTCTTCCAAAAGGCGAGTTGTCAGACATACCTCATTTTTAACCATTCTGCAATGGTCTGTGGACTTAACTATCTGTCCTTACCATGACCGTGCCATCTGGTGTCATTGTTACTGGCTGGCTTGTCTGATCACCCCTGCCCTCGATCGTGTTCAGTTTTGCTCCATCCCACTGTGAGACAGTCATAATCCTTAACAACTAGGAACAAGCTTGCATGCGCATACATGAATCCCTTTATAATGAAAAATACCAGATAAGTTTGCTGAGCAATAAACAAAGTATTTATTCAGCACCCATGTGCCAAGCACTGTGCCAGGCACTGTGGTGGATACAAAAATTTAAGACATGGTCCCTGCTCTTAAGGAGCTTACATTCTCATGAGGGAGACAAGACTGATATACATGAACAAGCTAGGAACAATACAAGACAATATATAATTTGGTGCAGGAGGATGTTGTACAGCCTTGCAGTGTTATAGGGATTCAAAGAAGATAGACAATGAAATAGGCCTCACAGTCAAGGTCTCTTGAGGAGCCAGGAATGGGGCCAGGCCTTGAAGGACAGAAGAGAATTAAACTGAAGTCCCTGTTCAGTAGAAGTAGGAGTAAGGTTCAGAGGAAGACAAAAAGTATGCATTTGATATTGGGGCTTCCTAAGAACTTACTGTGGATTTCTGAGCGGAGAAGTGATTTGCTTATACAACAGTCAACAAACTGAATGCAAACTTGTAAAGTATGTAAGCAGCTTAGGTGACACCCTACGGAAGACTGAAAACAATGGCAGTACCGTGATGACTAGCAACACAGATGGCACTTACCTGTCAAAGGAAAACACAGCCACAATGTAAAATGCGGGCTACCAAGGATGGGTGACAATCTGAGGCAACCCTTTACCCAACTTGCCAATAGTTCCAATATTTCCCAATTTTCATAGGCCCCAGAGACAGAGCGAGGGTTTTATCACCCAGATGAAGGACTTGGCTGCTCTCTGCCTAGAGAGGCTATACAAGAGGTATGAGGCATACTAGGACATACAAGAGTGACACAGAAAAAGAACGAGTGGAAGAGAGAAACAAAGAGAAATCCACAGTGAAAAATACACACCCAAATGTATAAAGTATATCTCCCACGGAGATGCAATTTGCACGTCCATTTTTTTTTAATGAACATATTCTGTATTTCTACAACAAAAAAGCTATGCCTTATCAGGTGTGCTTTTCAGTATTACTGGTAGAATCCAGGAATCCCTTAGATTCTATGTATGTCAGATAAACTGGTCACAAAACTCCATGTATCAAATCCTACTTTTCAGTTGACTTGTGTTAAGAAAAAGAAAGTGTTCTGGAAGAACCAAGATTGAGAGGTAAGCTGGGGAAGAAGTGAGGACTTTTCCTTATGTCCAGATGAGCCTAGCTTTCTTGTTGAGCAACACAGGGCCAGGGATGGTGGCAGCGGGACCGGCCGCACAGATTAAGAGGTCAGTGCTTGAAAGGACCACTGCCCAGGACACAGTGTGGTAGCATAGCATGGAACCCTGTCACTCGGAATTCTCATCCCATAAAAGCAGAGCAACCCAAATCCCGTAACTGACTGCGTTTAGGCCATAAATTCAAATTTTGTTCCCTGTTTTACCCAGTCAATAGTATGTTCAGACATCCCCCACTTAAATGAACAGTCAGTGATTGGATTCTAGGATTAAAATTTTACCACAAAAATTCCATGAATTGGATAACTCAAAGTTAACTAAGGGAGAACAAATAAAACTAGATACTAGAACAAATAAAACCAATTTCTAGCCCCCAAACAAAAAAAAATCCATCTAATTAAATTCAAGCTTTCTTGAACAAAGACAACATTTTAAAATCCCGAAAGGATAATACATTCAAGATTGGCTGTTTAAAGATTTTTTTAAAAACCACTTACCAGAAAAGCAGCAGTCCCATTAACCCATGTTCCATAAAATTCCAACAATAAATCAAATTCAAAGTTACTGACGAGCAGCGTATAAAGTACTTCCGTTAAATTCCATTACTTACATATATCCCATTTAGATTTAAAGATATTAAAAAACTTTTCACTTCACAAACAATCTGAAAATTCCCATTTAGGATGCTGATTATGTTAATCTAAACCTCATGTTCATCTTTCTAAGGAAAATCTCACATTCTAGAAAGCAACCACTTAGCCAAGCTGAAACTACTTGGGGAATGTTCCTGTGCCTACATACTGTCTATTAAAACGATGTGAATTAATCCCCTTCTTTGGGGTGTCCATTCTATTCCTCTGGGTTCTCTGAATTATTTAGGCAGTGTTATTGAAAACTTTCTGAGCCCCAGAAGGGTGAGTATTTTGGGTAGGTACTTAGTGAACCACTGGTGTTAAGTGCCAACTTCTGTGGCCCTTGTCCGATTTCTACCTGATTGGGAAGGTAAACCAGGTACTTGGCTCTGAAAGCTCCCTGGCTTTTCACGAAGCAGATGATACATGTTCACCAGCCAAAGACCCAGGAGAAATGTATTCCTGCCTAACTGGTACCTGTTCCTCTGGCTCCAAAATCAACATTCTAACTTGTCTTCCTGGTGTGAAAAAGATCTTTCTGTTCTTTTCCAAAATGGTGGCCATTATCTGCCTTTCCCTGGATGTTTCTGAACGGAGAAATGAAAGCAGAGTTAATAAATGAGAAGCCATAGTAGCTTCGCGCCTGACTCTCCTACAGCCGGATTCCTATTGTTACTGGAGCCACCCTACCCTCTTTTTCCGGCGTTGTCTGACAACTTGAAGTTTTGTAAAACCCAGACGGAGAACAAACCATCTGGACAACAGAAGCAAATCCTCTTCCTGCTGGAGCTGGCATTCTGCTAGGAAGATGCGTGTACAGCCACAGTGCGTCAGCCACGTGTTTCTAGTCTTGAAATGAAATCCAGTCGAAAGCTGTGAAGACACGGGAACAGTGGGCATGGAAACGACTCTGAGCTCGGACCTATGCAGGAGAGCTAGGAGACACTGTGATAATTTAAAAGATCACACACAAAAGCGTTAATTCAGTGAGAGAGAGATGGAATTCAGTTTTATTTTGTCCTCTCTGAAACTTCCATTTACACCACGGCCTCATCTATCAAAGAGGAGGAGGAGGAGGAGGAGGAAAAAACTCTGCCCGTCACCACAGAACTCGGGTACTCGGGTACTCGCTCCTTAGAGGTGCAGGGTCTTTGTTTCTCCAGTTTCTTGGCTCCGAGAGATTATACTTTCAGTACCAGCGTAGTGAGGAACCACTGGCAGGAGGCTGGAAATGTCTTCTGTATCCATCAACGTGCCATTCCATAAAGTGCTTCTGGAGTTAAAATCTTGTCAAGCTGTCAAAAGTGTCCACACTTTTGCAACACAAAGGATAAAAGAATCCCGAGGGGTATGTCACTGAGTCCTTCCCGGCTGGGTCTCATTATTGGCACCGCTGCCTTAACCGCCGAGGCGCTGGCCCTCGCCCCAGGCGAAGCCTCCTGGCCGCTCTTCAGGGAGTGGATTGTAATTTGGATCTTCCTCTGGTGTATCAAAAATAGCCTTCCTAAAAGACAGGCAACAAATATAGTTCAGTCACCTTAGGTCCTCAGTCCTCCAAGGTCAAAATGGTCCCATAGGGTTTCTACCAACTGCAAGCATTATATCTGCCTACCAATGAAACAGTTAACATATTTCAAAGGCATTCATAATTATTTCACATTTACATCAACTTTTACCTCCTTTACTAATCTTTACTACAAAAGCAAAGTATGTTAATTGTAGAGAAAACAGGAAATACATATGAGCAAAAACATCCTGACTCCCTAGAGGTAATTATGTTGATGTTTTCATTATGCTTTCGGAACTTTTATACATGTAATTTCACAAATGTTAGATCACAGTACTTCTGTTTTGTAACCTGACTTTCACTAAATCTATCATGAATGTCTCCCTACAACTAAGGTATCATCCAACATCCATTGACAGATGAATGGATAAACAAAATATTAGTCAGCCTTAAAAAGAAAGGAAATTCTGACACATGCTATAACACAGATGAATCTTGAAGATACTACGTTAAGTGAAATCAGCCAGTCATAAAAGGACAAGTACTGTATCTTTCCAATCATGTGACGTACAGTTTCAGTTCTGTGATATATAGAGGTCTACGGAGAGACGGCGGCGACAGAAGCACAATGTGAATGTACTTAATGCCACTGAACAGTGAGCAAGGATTACCAGGGAAGTGACTTGAGGGAACTTTCTAGGTGACGGTAATTTTCTTTATCTTGGTAAGAGGTTGGATTACATAGGCGTGTGCACTTATGAAAATCCATTAGTTGACACACTTGAGATTTGTTTATTTTGTTGCATATAAATAAAAACTCTAGTTAATGATATATATACACACACTAAAATATTCAGAGAATTAAGTATACTGGAATGCAAAAATGGATGGAGTGACAGCTAAGATGCACAAAAAAGCAAGAATAGCAAAATAGGAACTGTAGAATAGCATCTCTGTGGTGGCTAAATGTGACTGTATAATTTTGTCCTACTTTTCTGTAAATTTGGAAATTTTTATAATAAAATATTGGAGGAAAAAAACTAGAATGAATCATGTGGAGTTGTACCAGAACTGGGAGTATCAGTATAAACCCATGTTTTAAAAATACAAAGAACCAAAAATATAGATGTATCTACACTCATATGCCTACATATAGTTCCCTTGCCCTGTTCACTGAGAGGACTTGGGAGCAGCAATACTTCAAAAGAAATGAGCACATCTGGCACCCAGACCTTGGGTTCTAAATACCATTCTCCACTTAAAAGGAACTAGGTCTCCTTTAAGAAACAGCTGATTCTAGGACTGGTCAAGGAGAGCACAAGATGAGCCTGGGATATCTTGTTGGGCTAAAAAGTAATAAACTAGTTAAGAAAAAAAAAATGGGAGCATGTTGAAAAGTACTTAGAAGCCAGTTTGAAGCGGCACCCCTTGGCCAAGTCTGGGACAATATAAGCATCAAAATAAACAATGATGACAAGGGATAATCCATGAATAAAACATGAAATCATGGATTCACGCAGATATAAATGAATTGAAATTTGATAAGAAAAGAGACGTTTACATTGTCTCAAAATACCTCCCCACAAAACACTTAATTACAAAAGAAAAAAAGTGACTTTGTGGTGGAGAAGCCCCGCAGATATCTTAATTAAATAATCAAAAGTGATTATCACCACTTTGGCAAATTCAGCAAACTGAAATCCTGTGCCAGTGGGCTGCAATGAGAAGACCACAGCATCACTTCTCAGCTATTCCTGCCGCAGCTGCAAAACATGAACCTAAATGTGAGGGAACGTCAGACAAACCCAACCTGAGGCATTCTACAAAATGGGCTTATACTCTTCAAAAATGTCAGTGTCATCAAAGTCAAGGTAAGGCCGAGGAGCTGCTCCAAACTGAAGGCGACTAAAGAGACATGATCACAAAATGCAACACATGGACCTGAACCGGACTCTTCTGCTATAGCGAACTTGATCAGGACAGCTGCCCGAAGTGGAACTGGGTCTGAGGATTAGTGTTTACTTCCAGATTTTGCCTACGTAGAAGAATGCCCTTGTTTACAAAAAATACACATTAAAGGGCGTCATCGGGCATTAGATTGACAATTTACTTTCAGATACCTGAGGAGGGAAAAAGTCCTCTGTACTGTTCTGTAAGTTTCTGTAAATCTGAAACCGTTTCGAAATTTTCGAAAAGAAAAGTCATAGGAACCATGAGACACCACCTTACAGCTATCAAACCAGGAAAGGGTGAACACAACACCTCCCACATTTGCTGAAGATTTGGGGAAATGGACACTTATACATTGCTGGTGGAAACATAAACCTGAAGGTCCACTCTGGATGGTGGTTTGGCAAGAAGCCAAACAGCAATTCCACTTGTAGGAATTTATCCTTTGAAAATCATCACGGATGTGTGCGAAGGATGCGCTCCACGTGCTATATATACGGATGTGTAGCCACAAGGATGTTCACCACTCCAACCATGGGAGGAAGAGCAAAAAGGATGTCAGTGTCCAGGAATAAGGGACTCATAAATCATGCTCCCTTCACACCAGGGGGCATTATGTAGCTGTTACAATTTTGTAGGACATTTATGATGGAGAAGTGATCGTGATACATTACATTTAAAAGGAGGTTATGGAATAGCATTTTTTAAAAAGTACACAGACAGTAAAAGACTGATGAATACATATCAAAAAGTTATAGCAAGAGGTAGGATTACAGAGGATTTTACTTTCTTCTTTTTGCTGAGCTATTCTACAACCAACATTTTACAATAAAAACTCCCATTTTATTCCTAAAGTGAACATTTTTTAATGCAGTATATCCAAAGGACACACAATTACGGCAAAGAAAGATGTCCTATAAATCAAAGCTCTATCCTCAGGAAAAAAGTGCAAAAAAGGGGCTTGCTTAAAAATCCCACGGCTGGCTGGTAGAACAAACAGTCTTTACTTGGCTTCCAGTCCAAAGCCGTTTCCACTTTACTTCACTGCTTATCTCTACCGCCTGTCTGGAAGACCAGAAATTCCACCATTAGAAACTTCCTTCTAGTCGTTTTGCCCATTTTGCTATTGCATCCCTCTAAACACAGACAGCAGCCTTCACGAAGCTAGTAGGCTCGTCCCTGGGACAGGAGGTGCTGCTTGTCATCCGGGACGGCAATTACCAAGTCACCCTCGGGACATCCTGAGCCTGTTTACCTTGCTCCTGCCACAGCTGTCTGTTCCTGCGTGATCCAAATGCCAGATTGCTCAATCTGCAAATATTTACCGGCATGAACTCTGCATGCCAGCAGCTTTGGGAGCCCAGAGAAAACAGACCACGGACCCTGCCCCAGTTTATCTGTAAGGAACATGCAACCTGGTGTCAAATACTCACAGAATAGATGGTGTTTTCAGAATTCTTATTCCACCAGGCTGATTGGGAAATACATCTTCCAAGAAAAAATATATGTGTCCAACCGCAATACCTAGAGTCAACCAGAAATAAAGGATGAGGGAGAGGAGTAAAATTTCGATGGCAGGTGGATCTACTGACAAAAATTCCTCATATTTAGCAAGAAAGGTCAATATAGTTATTCAAAACTTGAAAACTAATCTTGTAGCCTTCGAGCATACAACTATCAAATAATCCTATTAACAGCTATATATGAAGGCCAGACAGAGTAAACATGAAAAATAGTGACAAAATACATTTGCAAGTAAAACAGAAAAGTAGTGATAAGGATCTTACCCAAGAGGTCCACAATGATTGAGTTCCCCAACAACAAGGAAAAGCCCATGAGCACCCAGGGTAGAAAGGGGGCCTGGAAATTGAGAAGGCCGAAGAAGTTCATGCGGACATATGGGTTCCTTCGGCTCCACACGTAGACAAGCATTATTGTAAAGGCCTGGCCCAAGAAAACTAAGCTCACAAACAAACCAAACAGCTAGCAGTTGGCATTAAGGAAAACAGCAACATTAAAAGTGTAATAGGGCAGACTGGGCAAGAGAACTAAGGACTGTGTTCTAACACATGTTTGAATTGGGAAAGGCGAGCAATAGTTACCTCTTCAGAAGAATAAAAGCCCCCAGATAATTACCCAGAGCCATCAGGCAAAAGCCTGCTGAGGCCACATCATCTGGACTGTTGCTACTTCAAACTGATATTCTGCTTTCATGAGGTTCTTGCCTCTTTGGAATATGTGTTCATTCCTCGGTCAGGAATTACATGAAAGCTCACTCACCACAAGCACCTTCACACAGGTGAGTAAAAGCCAGCTGGAGCAAAACCATCTTGTCAGACAGGGCTACATTCAAGTCTGGTACTCAGATGACAATTCTTTGTCTTTTTCGAAGTGATTTATCCATTTTGATGGTGACCAAATAAATGTCTTACCAACTTAGCTTAAAAGTAAAGTACACTCATCAATGAGAATTTATCTTAGATACTTAATAGCAACCCACCTGGGTTAAAAGTTCCTCTGACTTGCTCACAGTGGAAGAGCATCCTGTCCAACCTCTAGGCTTAGAAAGCTGTCACACAGAGTGTGCTATAAAATAAACAGTGGGCGCCTGAAGCTAAAATCGAGGGGTCCTGCATTTATCTGTCTGTTCAGAGTATCTAGTGAATTTCAGGAGGCAGACGAAAAGCTTTAGAAAGAGAGAGGGTGTTCTTTAATGTTTTCCTGTATTTGTTCTATTTGTTGAAGGATACGGTCATTAAGAATCCACCAAAAAGGAACATAAATACAAAGTCTGCTGTCCGACCTCGGAAAGAGCCTTCTTCTAGCATTCGACAGTAACGATATCTTAAGTTCCAAGTTAAGAAAATGTTAAGTATACAAATATTAAAAAAGTAAAATTTAATGTATCACAAAAGTATACTGGGACTCCACATTGTCTATAAGAAGTCAAGCCTTCGCTTCCATAAGAATGTTTATGAGAGGTAGTAAGGTAACTTCTCTTTTACCAGGCATTTTAGGCAAGGTGAAGAGAAGACCAGCTCCAAACTTTACAAAAACTGTTCCTGATTGCAGAACCAAGCCAGATGTTGCATACACATGCTTCCAGTCACCGACTACACCTTTTCAAATCTGTGCTGTCTTTCCCATGATCAGGCACACCCTAATCTACATCATCCTTGCTTTTACACAACCTAACATGGAGGAAATCCCCATCAAGAAGCACTGTGGGATAATCTGCTTTTTCAGGCCAAGTAATTACACATTTCTATACCTCAGTCAATAGGATGCATTACAATGAAAAAATTTATTAGAAACTTACCAGAATGATATACCATACATAGGAATCCATTCTAGGACAGGAATCCTGTCACCCCTAAGAGGCCCTCTGTCTACTGAGATGAGATGAGGTGTAACTCTCCTCTTAATACAGAGATTCAGGGTGCAGGAGAAATGCTCTGTTCAGAGACCCCAATTACCATTTGACCAGAGCACAACTCTTCCTCTTTTTCAACAAACTGGAACGTGGTGAGCCTGGCAGACATAGCACTGTCTTTGCAGCCAGGAGAACCAGCAACTGAGATCCGAAGAGATCTCAAGTTCTCTATCCTTCATGAACTCACTTCCAGGTTGTGTTTTTCACTTGGTACCTGCTGGTGTTATTCTGTAAGTACCTCTCCACCAAATCACTTCTGTTCTCCCTTGGTCAGATCTGTAAGTGGCTTGTGGGCAGAAATGTAATCATTTTATGGTTAAATACCTCCCATTTGAATAAACAGAGACCTACAAACACCCTCAAAACATTACTATCTGATCAACTACTCTGTGTACCACTGAGCCAGTACACAGGAGAAGTTACAGCCATGACAGTAACAAAAATAACAGGTTAGTTAGTTTCAAACTTACTACTGTATTTCCTAAGTAAATCTAAAGTTTTTATGCTAATCCCACTTAGTAAAGGATACAGAAAAATCATGTTAAATAAAAAATTGAATCCAACTGGCCCAAAAAATAAGAAATTGGTGATTAGCCTCCATATCTGTTAAAAGAAAAAAAATCAACAGAAAGACAGATTAAGTAAAATATACCAAGAAACATTTCCATATTAAGACAACCACATCCCATGACTACAATGGTTGAAAGGCCATGGATAGGTGATACTAAGTTCTGAACCCAAAAGTGGGGGGCACACAATCTGACACTGAACTTTGTGTTGCTTCTAGGTGAAAGTCTGAAAGATATCACTCGGCCTCTGAAATTTCTAAGGATAATAGGACAGAATGCTTGAAATTGTGTTTTGTTTTGTTTTAAACCCATACCATATGGTCAGGCAAATTATGGGCAAAGTTTGCTGGAAAGACCAGGTTCATCTGCAGAATAGGAAACTGCTTTCATATATGTAGTATCACAATTTAATGACTAGTCTCCAGACACCAGAGAAAAACTGCAGGGATCTAATATCAATTGCTAAGAAATGTTTCTATATTAGGCAGGCAGAAACACCCAGAGTGAAGAGTAATTCTAAAGCAAATACTCAAATTCTTGTCTGAACAAATAGCCAACTCCCTACAAGTAAAGACCTAATGCCCTAATAATTAGAGTCTAACTGGTAGACACACAGACACTCATTTTCATATTGGAAACCCTGACAGATTTTTCTCCAACCAACCCATCCACACCTGCAATAAAAATGACTACTCAACAATGGCAGCACACTTAACATTTACAGTGTTTTATCATATTCTGTTATCTCATGTGATCTTAATTATCCTGTGAGATGAGCAGGCTGGCACTCCTCCCCCCATTTGATGTATGAGGAAGCTAAGAGATTTGGATAATTTTAAAGTTGCCTGCCCAACTTTACAGGGAGCGTGTACAGGGAGACTCTGAACTCAAGCCTAGAAGTCCTAATTCCAATGCAGATACATGGTGTCATCAAGAGTTTAACCCCAGGCAAAACCAAGCCTTGGATGCTTGGATGGAGCTATAGCTCCCAGTGAAAGCAATGTGAGGAGAGACAGAAGAATGCAGCAACAAGGGTGCACAGGACTGCTTTATGCATCATTAAATTCTTAAGGATTGGTAGCTATTCAAGTTGAACAAACCATTCAGGATTGTTTACTACATACTAATTGCATCCAGGATTTTAGAGTTCTCAATCTAGTGAGGAAACAAGCATACAAATCAGTGTAAGCATGAGGTGAGAGACATAAAATAAGTGTTTGCAGAGACCCTAGGGACATGAAGGAGGATGAATCTGAGAAGGGTACACAAAAGCTGCATCTTGAACGGCAAGCTGGAGTTCAACGACTATAAAGTCAATGAACACATTTGAGACAGAAGGAATAGAAGGTGTAGAGGAAGAATTACTGGCTTTTGGATTTCTCTCTCACTCCAACTATAGCCTATATGATCATCCTAGAACAGGAAAAGACATCTCTCTTTTAGCATTCTAGTTACTGGAAAGGACTGTCTCTCATTGTAATCTAATAAACTGGTATGTTGTTTTAGATGTCAGTCTTCTGGAGTTATATTTGATCCCTGAAAGATGGATCAGTGCACTAAGAGAACTGAGTTTCTGAACTGGACCACAGTGATAGCATCCAGGTGATGGACAATATAAGGGCATAAGAGACTCTCCCTGGACAGAGAGCCGATCAGTCTCTTCCCAACCTACAATATTAACTTTGAACCAGTGACTCCCAAATACAGGAACTGTACACATCAAATCAAAACCATGCAGAGAACTTTAAAAATAAAATGCAGATTTTTAATTCCTCCCCTTGGTGATTCTGATTTGGTACATGATCAGGAGCTTGAGAATCTCTCAGATGTTTCAGGCTGCAGAATCACTGCTTTGTACTTTCACCACCCTCCCTTCCCCCACATTAAGACTTACAAGCAAACAGTCCCACTGAATTCATTTTTGAGATAGTATATGGCAGATTACCTACTAAAAAGAAAAACAATTTTAAAAACTGAAACATTAATGGTGGACCACTTACCTGAAAGTGTTTAAAGATTAATTCAGGATTGAAGTACAACTGAAAAGGTGTGATCAATTCCAACTGCTGAAATAGAAAAAGGGCTTCTTAAAGCAAATCAATCAAGGAAAAAAAAAGATTTACAACAAAAGACTCATTTAGGCTTTTTTTCTTAGGCTGGAGTTAAAGGTTGGTAAAGAAATGTCTAGAACAGGCAAAATTCTATGTATTCCCCAATACTTAACGCAAAATAAAAGTTTGATGTTTCAATAGTTGAGGCTAACATGAAGGTATGGAAGGGAGGTGGTGATATCTTAAATACAAGGTAGGTAAGAGCAGCTACTATGAATCTGCCCAACATAGGGGGACCACCTGAAACAGCTGTGTGAAGCAACACAATTCACTCAAAAGAACCGAGACTCAATACCTTGCCACTGTCAGGGCTGGGTGCCAGCCAACCTCTATATTCAGACTTTCATTATTGCAAGACTTTTCCCCGTCGACAACTTCTAGCTTTCCATCCTCAATATCTATACTTCTCCACTAAGCGGACCTTCCTCCTCCTAGTCACCACTGTATCTCTTGGTTGCCGCCAGAGTTCTCAGACATGTTTCCTGGGTGGGCGGCTCCCGCAGCCCTGACTTGCTATGGGTCCTGCCTTTATCTCTCGGAAACTGACCCGCTGTCCTGATCCTCCACCCCTCATGGTGCAGCACTCCCTTCTTGGGTCACTGGATAAGCACTCCCGGGGCCACTCCGAACCCCAGAGTGAGCCCTGTTCGCCTCCACCCACCCTTGAGACCAACCCCTCTGAGCTTCCCCAAGGCCCAAACCCGTTTCCCAAGGACCCAGTCATATCCAGCCCGATTAATGAGAGGGTGGCGCTGCAGCTGCTTACCACAGCGGCGGTGGTGAGGACGCAGGCGGTGGTGTAGGCGCGGCTGACCGGTGGGATCTGGAGGTACTCCAACCGGAGGCTCTGGTACGCCATCTTTCCCACCGCCGCCTGCCCACCTCCCCGCCCCACTTCCCCTTCCGCCAGTCAGTCCCGGCGGCGGGGCGGGATCAGGGCGGGATCAGGGCGGGATCAGGGCGGGCCCGCCCAGGACGCTGCTGTCCAATCAGCACCGCCCAATCGGCCATCCACCAATCCCTAGAGCCCGAAGGAAAGAACACCCGCCAATTACGAGTTGCGTCTCCGTGGCGGCCCAGCTTCGCTTCTCCACCCACCAACGTAGCAGAGAAGAGAGTGAGTACCAATTCCTCCCGCCAATCCCTGCCGGCCACAGCTAGCTTTCCCGCCCGGCCCCTTCCCGTCCCCAGTCCAGGCAGCCAATCAGGAGCGTGGTGGCATCCTGCCCTTGCTCTCGTTCGCTGTGGCAGATATCGGTCGGAGTTTTGGGGAGCTGGCGGCGCCGCCTATCTCTGGCAGCAGACGGTGGTTTAAAGGAGGTGGCGGGAAGCCGGTGTTTGGTCGAATTCGTCACCCTCATGGTCGCCTGGGTAAGTGCCACGGGGTTGCATTTTTTCTGAAGAGGAGCGGGAAGAGGTGACACTGGGTGAGGCATCACTGCCTGGCGCTGGAGCGGCCTGATGGAGGAGCGTCGCCGGCGGGGCGCGAACCTCTTCCCTCAGGTCCCGACATGCAGCGGGGGCGCGGGGCGTGCCGGCAGCCCGCCCTCCGGCCGGAAGTAGTTCCTGCCCCGCGGTAACTCTGCTTGCCGAGGTGCCCTGGGCGCCTCCCGAAGCTCCCGTGCAAATACGGATTAGGCCGTACTCCTGCTTGCGGAGAAGATAGGCCCATGATGATAATATCCTAAAGTAGGACTTGGTCAGTCCTCGAAGAGGGGTCCTGATGGGAATTCAGGGGAAGGGGAGAGCCCCAGGGAAGTTTATTGAAACCGACCCTTGGAAGATATTTGGCCAGGCCTCCTTTCTTGAGGGAAAGACATCTCAGGGAAAGGATACCGCTTGGTTTGGTTGGAACAAAGAGTAGTCAGATCATGGCAGGCAAAGTTAAGAATATTATCCTTTATTCGGTGGATTATAAGGAAGCACTAAAGGTTGTTGGAATAGGGAGTGGCCATCGAGTCTGGTAGTATATAAGGAAGGAATTAAGGCTGGAGAGAGTGGGGGTTTTTTTGTTTGTTTTTTTAAGGATACGAATTCTTAATTTATAGTAGAAATCTGAAGAACTAATATGAATGAAGTGATGCTCACCTTTACTGGTAGTCGGAGAAATAAACTAAATTTTTTTTTGCCTATTTCTCAGATATCACCCTCACAGCCTATTGGTAAAACAGTGCTGCATGTTTTGCTTACCCTGATAAGGGAGGAACACCTCGACAGAGCTTTGGCAGTGTCTCATGGGGATAACAGGCAAGATCGGAATTTTTTTTTAAAGAATGGCAAGTTTGGTTTAAAGTGTATTTTTCAATTTGGGGGCTTGATTAGGATTGGGTAGAGATCATGAAAAGCAGTCCAGCACTGGTAGAAATAGCTGAGCCAAGGGTTTGAGAGAATCTAGTTGTACCGATTGTTGAGGCTTCCCACTGAAGAGCTGATCAGTCTTTTGGAGGGTTCCATAATGAACAATCAAGCCATTTGGACAATGAAGATACTATTCTGATTTCCTAGAATAGTAGAGTCATGCTGATGTAAACAATAAGTTGTGGGGGGAGGCAAGGGGACTTGATAGTTCAGTCCTCAGTATCCAACCTGTATATGCGGTGAAACAATTTTGCACCTATCACATTTGCAAAAATTAGAATTTTGAGTAATACCAAGTGAAGGCAAAAACATGGAAAAGAAATTCTGATATACTGCAAGTGGGAAGGTAAACCAGCCTAGCCGTACCCCCCAACCCCAGCCCTACTATGTCTTGGAGAACATTTTGGCAGTATTTAGTGAAATTATGTATGCATAAATTGTATGGCCCAGCAACTACTGTCTGTGTAAATACCCTTCAAGTCCTTGAGGAGATGTAATTGAAAAGTGTCCATTACATTATTTCTGGGAGCAAAGTGCTGAAAAAGGAAACTGAGTGTCTGTCACAAGGAGAATAGGCACATCAAATATGGTGTATTAATGGAATACTTTAGTCAGAGACAATGAAGTATAACACTGAAGTGTAATAACATGAATCAATTGCAAACATGTAAAGAAATATGTAAACCATTCATGCACAAAACTATATTTCTTTCAAGACTATACAGTTGACCCTTGAACAGTGTGGGGATTAGGGGTGCCAATCCACCAAGCAGTTGAACATCCTTATATAATTTAGAGTTGGCTCTCCATATATGTGGTTCTACATTCACGGCTTCAACCAACCGGGATTATGTTGTACTTTAGTATTTACTCTTGAAAGAAAGCTGCATTATAAGTGGACCTGTGCAGTTCAGACCCATGTTATTCAAAGATCAGCTGTATATCTAAAACCTGTTAAAGATAAAATTAAAGATGAATTAAAAAGGCATGCATTAAGACACTGCAGTCGGTTCCTGTGGGAGATGAAAGAATAAAATAAGTAAGAGAGGACCTAGCATGGATCAAAAATAGAGTGCCATGAAATAGGAAGTGTTATCACTTCAATTATGAACATGTAAGGTCCTTAAAAAAGAACAGAGTGGTTAAGAAAGGTCAGATGATGAAGGTCCTTGTAAGCCATATGAAAGAGTTTGAAATTGATGCTGAAGGCATAGGGATATTAAAATCCTGTTGCTCCACAGAGTCCTCTCCACAAGACATAGAAAAGAAAGCAGTTTTATTACTGAATAAGCATATTCAGATTATAATGCATTGTAGGTAATTTGTGAATGAGATTACAAAGACAGACAGAAATTCTACCCTATTTATACAGCTAAGCCATTATAACCATTCTGTTTTTAGCCATTGCATAAATTTTCAAGATTAACAGCATCTTGATGCGTAAAAAGATTTGACTGCATCACTTGCTTCAGATTTTTTCATAAGGTTCAACCTAAATTTATCTGATAATGGAGGTAGCCATTTGTTTTAGCAAATTACTTTGTCTGCAGGAATAGTGAAACTTCTCCTATTTCTGTGCTAAGTGTATGCTTACAGCTCAGGAAAAGTTCCCTAGGTTTAACTCCCCAGTGACAGGGAGGTTGGAGTGCTATTTTCCTAGATGTTTACATTTGAAAGGAATGACTCCCAGACCCTGGAGAAAACGTCAGGGTTGTTGCTCAGCTTCCAATGGGATCTTTTTAAGATGGCTGGGTTGGAAGGACAAGGGAGTTGAGGACATTGGCAAGGGAGTTTTTGAAGTGATGGATCATAGAGCCTGAAATGGATGAGGGGAAGAAGCAAAGTGGGAGAGACTGAGAGCTAGAGAGAGAGCATCAGAGGGCTGAAAGTCTTGAAGATTAAGGTATAGTTAAGAGTCTGTGAATGAGTGTTGGAAGAATAGCATATGAGGTTGTGGTCAAAAAGTAGGAGCAGCAGGGGAGAGAAGATACAGGTATCAACAGCCAGGTGGTAAAAGAGTGCAGATGAAGGTCACTGAAACTCAAGAAACTGAGTCCCCAGGGCATTGGTTAAATCATCCATCTAAGCTTGAAAATTGTCCTGGATGATAACAGAATTCAGAAGGCTGAGCCATAGGCCAGAATCCTCAGTAAATGAGAGGTGAGGGAAATGGACAATGAGGGGGAAGAAGGAGAGATTCTATAACCTCTATGCTGATGGAAAGAACCTCAGAGAGGCAATTGGTTTGTATCCAGTTGTGGATGAGTGCGGCTGGTAGTAGCATCGGGTTTCAATAAAACCCTTATTTTTTGTTTTCTTCTTTGTTTTGTTTTTGTTTCTTTTGCCATCTGCAGTGTGATTTGTTCCTTTCATCAAATGATTTTTTTAACACAAATGAAATTTTTTCTTTTTACATTTGCAGATTTTTCACAGTCAAAATTAACAAAGCAAAATAAGCCAAGATGTCTGTTGATCCAATGACCTATGAGGCCCAGTTCTTTGGCTTCACACCACAAACTTGCATGCTCAGGATCTACATCGCCTTTCAGGACTACCTCTTTGAAGTGATGCAGGCGGTTGAACAGGTTATTCTGAAGAAGCTGGATGGCATCCCAGACTGTGCGATTAGCCCAGTCCAGATTCGTAAATGCACGGAAAAGTTTCTTTGCTTCATGAAAGGACGTTTTGATACCCTTTTTGGCAAAATGGAGCAGCTGTTTTTACAGTTGATTTTGCGTATTCCCCCAAATGTCTTGCTTCCAGAAGATAAATCTCAGGAGATGCATCCTTATAGTGAGGAAGAATTCCAGCTTCTCCAAAAGGAAATTGAACAGTTACAGGAGAAGTATAAGACTGAATTATGCACTAAGCAGGCCCTTCTTGCAGAATTAGAAGAGCAAAAAATTGTTCAGGCCAAACTCAAACAGACATTGTCTTTGTTTGATGAGCTTGAGAATGTTGGCAGAGACCAGGGGACTAGTGATTTTAGGGAGAGCTTGGTGTTCCTGGTCCAGAACTCCAGAAAACTACAGAATATTAGAGACAATGTGGAAAAGGAAAGCAAAAGACTGAAAATATCTTAACTTCTAAATAGTAAAAGGGGCCTGTCAGAAGGTAGAATGGTAAGGGATTTATGTCAGTGACTTTTCTTAGCCTAGTGAACTGTATATTTTGGGGAGTTTTCTTTGTTTCCTCTTTCTCAGTTTCCACATCTTCCCCTTTTTTTGGTCCACTCTCTTCAAGCATCCATGCACTGTCCTGAACTAATAGGCCTCTAACAGGTGGGAAGGGATTCTTGGTTCAATGACTCATTTTGGGGGCATGACTAAAGAAGTAAAGCTTTCCCTGGACTTTCAAAGATATTGTAAAACTTGTACCTTGGTCATGAGTCCTTTGAAACCTTAATCCTTTTGACTTACTCTTTGGATGAGAGCAAATAACTAAAAGGTTAAATGGGCATCATCTTTATTAACCAGCCACCACCCTTTGGGACAGCCAACACAGACTTTTTGTTCTTGCCCAGTAACTTTTCTCACGTGAGGAAGTTAATAACTAGCTGAAGGAAGCAAGTAGCAGAAAATAAAAACAACCATGATCTTTAGAAAGAAGAAAGAAGTTTTTGTTTCTAAAATAAATCCTTTCCATGTCCAAGGCCTTGGTGGTGGTAAACAGTTTACTGTCTTGGGGCCTAGCAGTGGAAGACCCTGGACGAAAAAGAAGCAGATCTCACTGGCCTAGAACAGGAAGCCTGGACAACACTCAGTATCAAAATTTATGTTAACTAACTGTTAGGTAGTTATACCTTTAAAAAAAAATGCTTCAGTTAGTTTTGGAATCTGTCTTGTATCTAATATTTAATTAACTTATTTATTCACACTCATAAGCATCAAATATTTACTACTCTGAATGATAAATTTTAGACGTGTCTTGTGCTTAAATTCAGTGGAGTCTAATTTTTCCTTTTGTAACTAATCCATGTAAAATGTTAGATCACCCAAGGAGAGGGGAGAAACGACAGCAGTTGCTCTTAAGGTATTACTTGCCTTCCATGTCTTCCTGAAGAACAGGATTTAGAGTTTATCCTTCACATAGAAGTGTAACTTAAGGTGTTATTATTTGCAATTAAATATTCATCAGTTTAGGAAGCCTATGTTTACCTGGAATGTATTTCTTGTCAAAGAGTCTTTTTTTCCAATCCTGTACATTATATATGTTTTAAAAGCTTTGATTTGTGATTTTCTGCTGTATATACTGTCACAGTATGCCTTCTTCTTTAGAATGACTTTCTACCCAAATGATTGATTTTTTTTTTAAATTTAAAAATTCTTTTACACATATGGAGCTTATTTAAAATCTCTTAGTGTATTGGGTTGCATGGCGGAATGGTATGTCTGTGCCTGGTTCCTGGAACCTGTGATTGTACCTTATTTGGAAAAATGGTCTTTGTGGGTATGATTACGTTAAGGATCTGGAGATGAGATCATCCTGAATTATCTGAGTAGGCCCTAAGCCCAATGCCAAGTGACTTTGTAGAGGGAGATCTGAGACGGATGAGGAGGCGATCTTGTGACCACAGAGGGAGGTTGGAGTGATGCAGCCACAACTCAATGCCATGAGCCACCAGGAGCTGGAAGAGGTGGAGAACACATTCTTCCCTAGAGCCTCCAGAGGGAGTATGGCCCTGCTGACACCCTTATTTTAAAGTTCTAGCCTCCAGAACTGTGAGAGAATACATTTCTGCTGTTTTAAGTCACTAAGTTTGTTACAGTTGCTGCAGAAAACTAGTATACTTAGTGAAATTAGAATATTTAGCAGCCGACATCCTTAGGAATACCTTGTTAAGGAAACAACAGCTGAGATCTGGTTGGCTTCATTATAAATGCAATAATATGGTTTGTCTGAATACAGTTAAAATATGGACATGAATGTATAGAAGGGTGAAGTCCACAATATTTAGGACTCAGGGATCCATTTCATGTTGAGTAAGCACTTAATCACTGTTGGATAGTAATACTGTGACTGCTTGTCATAGTTCTGTCTCTGCAGGAACAAATTAATATACTTGGCCCCATTATCTTCTAATAATTAAGTTCCCCCCTCAAAGATTCAGAAATCAATCAGGGTAACAAACACTTAGTTACCCACTCTGCTTACTGCTTCATCTCCCACTCAGCGTCAGTCTCACACTATTTCCTACTTCCCTCTACATTAGAGCCTATGGTTTTGTAATATCAAACCTTCAGCTTCCCTAGATGCCAGCTCCCAGGCTTTCCCTTGTATTTATTTTTATTCTCCCTTATTGTCATGCCTGGTCCCATCTGTATACCCCCAACTAAACTTTTCCCATTTTGCTGCTGCATTGACAGGCAGCCAATTAGGGAGACAGTTTGGGATGGTATTAGAAAGTAAAGAGTGGACATTACTACCAACCTTACAGAAATAAAAAGAATTACAAGAAAGTGCTACGTACAAGGTTCTGCACTCAATTCTAATGTGGGGGGAAGGGAGGGCATTTCCACATACCATCAAGCAATTTTTGAACACCAGTTTGGTGTCCTCCAATTCAACTCAATTCTGACACTACCCAGATACAGCATCAGATTCCACAGATTAAGGGCTCAGTCCCACAAGACTGCCACTTCGTTTTATTTTTTTAAATGGAGGTACTGGGAATTGAACCCAGGACCTTGTGCATGCTAAGCACATGCTCTACCACTGAGCCCTGTCCTCCACATCACATGCCAGTCAGAAGCCTAGGTTACCTGTGCTTCTGACCTATTGGCTACAAATCAGAGGTTCCCATAATCCCCTCCTTTGGTTCCATTAATTTCCTAGAGCAGCTCACAGAACTCAGGAAACCCATTTACTCACCAGATTACCAGTTTATTGTAAAGGATATATGAATCAAGAACCAGATGAAGAGCCATAGGGTGAGGTCCTGAACAAAGTTTTTGTCCCCATGGAATTTGGGTCTGGTGTGGTGGCACATGTAAGCGTTCTGGTTCCCCAACCTGGAAGCTTTCCAAACCCCTTCCTTTTCAGTTTTAAGGAAGCTTTATTATATCAATGATTAGCCATTGGTCATTGAAATTGAACCTCTAGCTCACACCATGTATACAAATGAACTCAAAACGGATCAAAGAGCTAATAAGGTTTAGAACTATAGAACTTTTAGAAGAAAACACAGGCTTAAATCTTTGTGATCTTGAACTAATAAATAGTTTCTTAAAGATGACACCAAAAACATAAGGAACAAAGGGAAAAAACAGCTAAGCTTGACATCAAAATCAAAACCTTTTGAACATCAAAGATACTTGTAGCCAGGTAGCCAGTTCTCTTTTACCTGAGTAGGTTTTAACTTTTTATGCGGTATTAACATATATATAACAAGAGCTATTGGCCACTACACATCTTTTTTTCTACTAACATCTGATCTAAAGAAAGTTCATTGTCAAAAAATTTAATAGTTACAAGGGGAGACCGTGAGGTTATAAGTTGCCTGCCATCTGCCAGCAGACACAGCTTTGAGGATGGCTGGTGCCATCCCAAGTATGACACAGCTCAGAAAATTCGACTTCTCAGCAATACAGGAATGTGTCTGAAATCATGGCCACAAAGCCCAGCTAGTTTTACTTTGGATGCCTGAACCACAGCTGCTCCATTTTGACTTTCAAATGCATTCCCTTCCTCAAGGCCAAAGCAAATGCACATGCATATCCAAAAGTTCACAAAACAGGCTGCTTTGCTCAGTAAAGTTTAAGTCAGACCATACATAAGCCAGAATGACTTCCCCGTCCCTCAGTAGGTGCAGATTTTCCCATTATTTCCCCTTTTGATTCTGAATCTTTCAATAGAAAGCATTGATGATCGAAATATCGGTCCCTTGATGCTGGGGTGGTGGCTCCTGTCCAGGTTCAGATCACGTCCCTCAGTGCCAGGCCTCCTTTATATTTGCCTAGTTATACGTGTTGGGGGAAAAGTAATTAGAAACAGGCTCAGAGATATGTTAATAAGGAAACACTTCACAGGCTATACACTTTATCACTTATACCCAGTTGTTACCCAAGCATCATACATGTGCGTTTAGCAATAGACTTAAAGAAAGCATTATTATATTCTGTGCCAACTCCATTGGGGAATTCCCTTTCTACCCTAAACACTGAGGGCAATATTGATAGGGAGACAAACATTTGGTAAACAGTTCAATTAGAAAACAGATTAAAAGCCAGCAATACTTCAGACAATCAAAAAATTATAACCACATTCATCAGTTCACTCAACCCCATGCAGTCCGTCCCCCTTACCAACAGTTTCATGAATCAGGTTTTCAGTAGACTTCTTAAATATCTTACCCAGCCAAGCAGTATGATTGAAAAGAAACCTGTACTTGTCAAAAAGTCCTTTCTATGAATCTTC